GGATTCGAGCCGCGGAAGCTTACGTATACAATGTCGAGTTCAGCCGCTGTCTGGAGGAGAAAGCTGAGTCTGAGTAGCAGCCTCTGTCTGAGTAGCGGCCGGCTGCTCAGATCGATATTTTTCCATGGTTTCTCCTATCAATGTCGGGCCAATGCCGGAGCAGTATCCTAAAAAACGGGCCACGCGCGATCTTTCCTTCCTATTTCTTTTCGTACCCCCGGAGCTTTGATTTTCTCTCAGCTAGTTAGGTGCCCTGCTAGTTAAGAGATATCTGCAGTAGGAAACCTACAAGTGGTCGTGTTCATAGGCGCCGGATATCACATTGAAATGGGGGAGTAACATTTCGTGACTAATGACCCAAGGAGTTGACGTGGTCGGAATCAATACCCAGTCACTCACTCGTAGGATGCTCAGCGGTAACAGTGTTGCCTTGCAGAGTTCAGCGGCAGCGGTAACAGTGTCCCTTGCGGAATTGTTAATCGAGGATGTCCCAGAGCTCGAGTTACGACAGTGGCGATTTTTTGATAATGTAGCAACGTCGAGTTCAGCTGCTGTCTGAAGGAGAAATGTAGCGGCCGGCTGCTCAGATCGATATTTTTCCGTTGTTTCTCCAATCAATATCAGGCCAATGCCGGAGCAGTACCCGAACAAACGGACCACGCGCGATATTTCCTTCCTCTTTCTTTTCCTATCCTTATCTTCGACTTAGAAACACTTGCATGCACCACACATGTCGGGAGACCAGTCCGGAGCTTTGATTTTCTCTTAGCTTATTAGGTGTTCTTCCAGGTAAGAGATACCTGCAGTAGGAAATCCACAAGTGATCGTGTTCATAGGCGCCGGATCTCACATTGAAATGGGGGAGTAACACTTTCGTGACTAATGACCCAAAGAGTTGACGTGGTTGGAATCAATACCCAGTCACTCACTCGTAGGATACTCAGTGGTAACAGTGTTGCCTTGCAGAGTTCAGCGGCAGCGGTAACAGTGTTGCCTTGCGGAATTGTTAATCGAGGTGTCCCAGTGCTCGAGATACGACAGTGACGGTATTTTGACACTGTAGCAACGTCGAGTTCATTCGTCGAGTTCGAGGAGAAATGTAGCGGTCGGATCGATATTTTTCTGTTATTTCTCTAATCAATATCAGGCAAATGCCGGAGCAGTACCCTAACAATCGGACCCCGCCCGATCTTTCCTTCCTCTTTCTTTTCCTATCCTTATCTTTCACTTAGAAACACTTGCATGCACCACACATGTCAGGAGACCAGTCCGGAGCTTTGATGTTCTCTCAGATAGTTAGGTGCCCTACTAGGTAAGAGATATCTGCAGTATGAAACTCTGCAAGTGATCGTGTTCATAGGCGCCGGATCTCACAATGAAATGGGAGAGTAACACTTTTCGTGACGTTCCTGACCCAAGGAGTTGACGTGGTCGGAATCAGTAGCCAGTCACTCACTCGTAGGACGTGCTCCGTCCCCCGACGTAGAATCCCTTGCGACCACGCGCGTGTGCTTCCGCCCTCCCCTGTCGCCGGCGTTCTGCCTCTCGTCGCCGGCGCTCGTCGTGGCCGTCCCTGCTGCTGGCGGCCCTTTGTACTTGACGGCTGTTGGAATGTGGCTGCCGCCCTACGAGCTTCCAGCCATCGACCGTGCTAGGCAGTGGGGCGCCCACGGAGGAATGCTGGCATGCCAACGTCTAATTGTATTTTTCCTCAATGAATGAGTGATTGGTTAATGATTCCAAGCACGTCAACGGATAAGGTCATTCGTCCCGTAAGGGTAGTGCACGTTTTTATCGCTGTTGGTGACGGTGATCTCCCCTAGCTAGATCCCGTGTCGACCTATCCGTCGGCTAGTAGGGTTTTCCCCAATCATGTATCTCCCACCTGCGGGGCACCGCCTCAGCCGGGCCAAGCTCTAGACTCCCGACTGGTCTTCTGGTATGTGTGGTTGTGTGGTGCATGTAAGTGTGTGTGTAAATAAGGGATGAGCGTGTGACAAGGAACAGAAAGGAAAGATTGCATGCGGTTCATGGCTCGTTAGTAAGAGTACAGCGCCGGTATTAGTCTAGTGTTGATTGGAGAAACCCCCTGAAAACTAGTGATCAGAGCAGCCGAAGATTGCTTCTCCAGACTCAGTTAGTGGTAGCTATGTAGCTAGTGTCGAAAATACTGCTACCGTCAGGACGTGAACTCTAGAACCTTCCGGTCAGAGGCAGATTGGCAGTTCTTCCGGTCAGATTTGCAGCGACAACAATTGATGCCGGTTATTTTACCCAATGTAATCATAGTAATTACCACGTATTGATCACATTTCTGTTTCATCTAAAGAAGTATACCCATTTTGAACTGACAATTGACTAGCAATTTGTATGTTTTTAATTATTTCAAAAATACTTTAAAGTATCCTAATTGAAATTACCCCACTTGAAATATTTTCTGAATCTGTCCGTGTTCCTTAGGCTCCCCCCCTGAGGAGTGCCTTCTTTTAAGCGTTTTATCTGTAGAATAGCGTTTAAGTAGTTTCATAATAAGAAATATGTGGCGTAATCTCATGACATATATCTATTGTAACAGAAAGATTTTTGTCCACTTTACGATTTTCTTCCCACTTCAGCGATACAATTTTTTGAGTCGCATTTCTTATTACTTGTATATTTCTCAAATTCACTTACGCGTTTTAAGTACAAGTACAAAGTAGTGTAATGTTAGTACTTGTTACAATTCTATTTCTGATATCCTGTCTTAATGTTTCCTTATGTTTTTAAAATTTATACCAAATTATT